CCCCCCCCCCCCCGGGGAAATTCCTCCCAATCAACCAATACCCCATTGGCACTCACATATTAGTCTGCGGTTTCGTCTTCACACATCCGACGACTTTTGTAACCCAGAAACACATTTGAAAACAAGACGAAAGCGTCGATCAAACACCCTCCAACTCTCTCAGGTGCGAACTCGTCAACACTCACCTCCTTTCCTCTCCCCCCATTTCTTTACTAAACTCTCTCTCTCTCTCTCTCTACATATGCATATATTGTTTATGTATGTATCTTCTCGCTAACCACATACACATCTAGCTATAAAAGAGAGACTGTTTCCCAGAATTTCTGTGAATTCTCGAGAAATTTGTCTCAATTCCAATGGCTTTTCGCCGTAATTGTTTGCTGTTAATTGTTGTGTTGATAGTTGTTTGGGGTTCGCAGTGTGGCGACGCGTTTGGGACGTTTGGGTTCGATGTACACCACAGGTACTCTGATCCAGTGAAAGGAATTTTGGACCTCGATGGATTGCCTGAGAAAGGTAGTATGGAGTACTATTCAGCTATGGCTCATCGTGATCGGTTCATCCGGAGACATGGTGGTCGACGGCTTGCCGACACCGTTGACTCATCACCGCTCACTTTCGATGGAGGCAACGAAACTTATCAAATCGATGGTTTAAGATTGTATGGCTTCTTAGTCCTTTTTACTTGATTTAATTGTTTAATTACAGATGATTTTGTGTTGTCTATTTCGATTTTTTTGTTTATTGGAGAATTGAGTGATAGTAGTGGTGAATTTGTTGGGAGATTCAGAGAGTTTTGGATTGCTGTCTGTTTCGTTGCCTGAGAAAATATAAGAAATGGCAAGGCAAAGGGAAATACAGTTTGTAATAATCAAACTCTTATTCAAGAAATAATTAAATTTGCGTAGTAATGGGTCAAGCCCAATAGTCCAACTCATGTGATAAGTCTGGTCTGAGTTTTAAGGCCCAACTCCAAGGGGTCCACTAAGTCCAGCCCAATGTGATCGACCTGATCAAACTCATCAAGCTCAAGGAGCNTTCTGATATAGATAATCTCTCTTTAATCAAACAAAAGAAGAAATTAATTAAAATACGCATTAACGGACTCAAAATACCAAAAAATAAGAGTAAATTATACTTTACCCTCCTAAACTATTACTCTTGATTTACTTTGTACCCTTAACTATAAAATTTCTAACATTGCATTTTCAAGTATTAATTTTATTTCATATCATTCAAATAGATAACAACAATCTTAAAAATCTTTCAAAAGAGTAACGAAAACTCCAAAGAAGTGTCTAATACCACTTTATTTTACCTCTTTTACAACTAAATAATTGCTGGAAAGAAAAAGAAGGTTGGTTAGATGAAGAAAATTTGGAACTTAAGAAAGGCAAAATCATAGATATGCATTTTTTTTTTATTGATTTTTGATCTGCACATATGTAATAGGCAATTGGTTATTGGTAGTACAAACCACTCATATGTGTATTTACCGTCAAAAAATTAAGATTTGTTATCAATTAGAGTGATATGAAACATAATTGATATTTTAAGATACAATGTGAAAAATTTTATAGTTAAAGGTACAAAGTGAAATAGGTAATAGTTTAAAGGGGTAAAGTGTAATTTATCCTAAAAAAAAATTGAACAAAACTTGAACGTACCAAGAATTTTTTTTTTTTTTAAAATACCAAGAATTCAAAGTTCCTTGACCATTGACACCTACAGTCAAGGAGTATATCAGGCCCCCCCCCCCCCCCCCCCCCCCCCCCCCCCCCCCCNAATTTGTTGGGAGATTCAGAGAGTTTTGGATTGCTGTCTGTTTCGTTGCCTGAGAAAATATAAGAAATGGCAAGGCAAAGGGAAATACAGTTTGTAATAATCAAACTCTTATTCAAGAAATAATTAAATTTGCGTAGTAATGGGCCAAGCCCAATAGTTCAACTCATGTGATAAGTCTAGTCTGAGTTTTAAGGCCCAACTTCAAGGGGCCCACTAAGTCCAGCCCAATGTGATCGACCTGATCAAACTCATCAAGCTCAAGGAGCTACATCAACAGGCAGCATGCAAGGTCATCTGAGAGTCTCTTCTACCACCTTAAAGTAGGGGTCAGCCAAGAGCTTCCTCTAGACTACCAAATGAACGTCTAGGAGCTCACCCTTGCTGCTTGGAGAGAGTTAATCTTCCCTCATCATTTGACCAAGTCTTTTGGAGAGCATCATAAACTTCCTAGCCCGTTGAGGAGAGCAGAGGTTGCTAAGCTATTTAATCACTGTTAAAGTCACCCCAATCCGTTATGACTATTAAATAACTCAAACCCATTATGACCGCTTGATTAACTATTTAATTAGTATCTATTATGAGGCAACTATAAAATATAAGTCCCACCAACACATGAGGGCATCTTACTCATTTTGAGCACAATTCTCTCCTCCTCTTTGAAAGCTTGTAATCTTCGACTCTCCCATTGCATCAGAGTTAATAAAATCTTTACGACCCTTGCCATTCCAAGTGGATGTAGGTCATCTTGACTGAACCATTATAAACTTGGTCTTCTCCCTCTCAACTTTACTGCATTTTATTTTACTTAATTGATAGGTGGTGTACAAATTAATTTTGTGCATCATCAGTTTGACGCCGTCTGTGGGGACGACAAAATTCTCACCTCTAAACACTTTTTTTTGCTGAATCAAAGGCTATCACCACCAGAATCCATGAATCAGCCTGAAGACATTCCACCAAGAGAGGAGGAGATTGCTCGTCCACCTGCCAATCCCGTCCCAAATGCGAAGCAGATGTTGGACACAATGCAACAATTTATAGTCCAGAATCAACAAATTCTACAATCAACGCTCGGGCAACAAGGAGGAGTGCAGCCTAGACCTCAAGCCAGGTGAGTTCCACTCCCAGGTCATCAAGGAGCTCCCCACCTCGGCGCTCCCCATAATAGGGCGCCTCACCTATAGGAGCTCCCTTAGGTGCCCCTCACAGGGGGCCCAATCATGAGGGACCTCCTCCTCTAGCCCTTGCACTTTCTCCCCATGGTGGAGGCCCACATTTCCAAGAGGATGAGGGTAAAAACCAAAGCATGAAGCATGAGAGTCATGTCCGTGATAATTCCAGAGTACCTCCCCCAATCATTGGAATGAAAAAATTAAGGAGGTGCAAAATCAATTAGGTAACGTCTTCAACGCCACGAAGGCACAAGGACCCGAGACAGTGGACTATCTTGTAAGTCGAACTGACACACCTTTCAAATCATACGTGGCAAACTACCTACTCCCTCAAAAATTCAAGATGCCATCCGTCGAAACCTTTGACAATACGAAGGATCCACTGGACCACCTCGAAACTTTTAAGACCTTGGTGCAGCTACACAACGTCCTCGATGAAATCATGTGCAGAGCGTTTCTAACCATATTGAATGGGTTCGCTCGACAATGGTTCGCCAAGCTCTCCCCAGCCTCCATTAGCTCATTTGTTGAGCTTAGTAGGTCCTTCGTGTCACATTTCATTGAAGGCCTTCCTAGGGGACCTTCAGTCGTTAAGCTTTCTTTTTTTCGTAATGAAGCGTCCACCGAAGAGCATGCCAGAACTGCTAGTGAAGGCCCAGAAATACATGAATGCTGAGGACATTACAAGGGCCAAACGAGGGGAGTCCTCTAGAGTTGGGGAGAAAAGAAAAAAAAAAGACAGAGACGATAAGAAGGAGAGTATTAATAAGCATAACTGGACGGAGAGGGTATCTATCAAAGACCGGCTCGGTCCTGCTCCACAGAGAGATCGACAAGCCTTCACTCCCCTCAATGTCGATGTCGGACACATCCTATTACAGATCTAGGATGACCGCGCAATAAAATGGCCTGGGAGGATGAAGTCTCCTCCAAACCGCAGGAACCCAAACAAATATTCTCGCTTCCATCGCGACCATGGTCGTAACATCAACGACTACTATGACCTCAAAAAACAAATTGAAGAGCTCATCCAACGGGGTCATTTATGCCAGTATGTTGCTAGTAAGGGAAAGGCGTCGACGCTACCTCGTAATCAGGAAGGCCAACAGCCCATTGGAGAAATTCACACCATCTTTAGAGGGTTTGCAAGAGGAGGGGAATCCCTCTCCGCCATAAAGGCTCATGCCAGGAAAGTCAGACACCCCGATGAATTGCACCCATTTAAGGCGCCCAAGCATGGTAACAAGGTCATTTCCTTCTCAGAGAAGGATTTGGAAGGAATCCAGCACCCCCATGACGACCCTCTGGTGCTCACCATGACCGTCGCTAACTTTTAGGTGCGAAGGATTCCCGTGAACAGTGGCAGCTCTGCGGATATTTTGTTCGCAGAGGCTTATGATAAGCTCAACTTGGGCAGAGAAAGGTTGCAGCCCATCAGGTCGCCCCTCATTGGGTTCTTAGGGGAGAAGGTGTATCCTCTAGGGTCTATTACCTTACCTGTCATTGCCGGAGTGGCACCCCGAAGCTCCACGATCATGGTCAACTTTCTGGTGATAGATTACCCTTCAACCTACAACATTGTCCTAGGGCGATCAGCTCTCAACACCTTAAGAGTTGTGCCCTCCACCTATCATCTTATTCTCCGCTTCTCAACTCCAAACGGAGTCGGAGAGGTCCAAGGAAACCAGATAGCAGCAAGAGAGTGTTACGTCTCCTCATTGAAGACCAGAAAGCCACAAGAGGCATTGCAAGTGGAGGTCCTTGATCCGCGAGGTGATACCAAGTTGGAAAGAGGAGAACTAGTAGAGGAGCTCAGACTAGTGGTCCTAGATGAGGATTATCCAGACCGAAGAGTATACATTGGCTCTTCTCTTTTTGAAGATTTGGTCCGCCAGCTAATATACTTTCTGAGGCTCAACATGGACGTTTTTGCATAGTCACATGTAGACCTTGAGGGTATTGATCCTGAGGTCGCCACCCACCACCTCAATGTCGATCCTCACTATAAGTTTATTTGCCAAAAGTTAAGGGGTTCCTCTACTGAAAGGGCCCAAGCGATGGAAAAGGGAGGTGAAAAAATTGATAGAAAACAGGGCGGTCAGAGAAGTAGCCTATTCTGAGTGGCTCTCAAATGTGGTGATGGTGACTAAAGCTAATGAAAAATGGCGCCTCTGCCTCGACTTTACTGAGCTTAACAAGGCGTGCTCGAAAGATAGTTATCCACTACCACGAATTGACTTCCTCATTGACGCCACCGCAAGACATGAATCTCTCACCTTCTTGGATGCATATTTTGGGTATAACCAGATCAGCATGTACCCCCCAGACCAGGAAAAGACGTCATTCATCACTCTAAAGGAGACCTATTGCTACAAGGTCATGCCCTTCGAATTGAAGAACGCAGGAGCAACTTATCAACGACTGGTGAACAAGATGTTCCAGTCATAGATCGAAAAAACGATGGAGGTGTATGTGGACGACATGTTGGTAAAGAGTTTCGTAGCAACAAACCACATCGACCACCTCCAAAAAACTTTCAGTGTTCTCAAGATATTCCGCATGAAGCTGAATCCGAAGAAGTGCACCTTTGGCTTTGGGTCAAGAAAATTCCTTGGTTTCATGGTTAACCAGAGGGGAATTGAGGCGAACCCAGACAAGATCAAGGTCATCCTAGATATGAAGTCGTCTTCCTCG